GCTGAATAGGTATATGCTTAATAATTTTTCCCCGAACTTTTGTATTATCCTGATTGATAACTGTAAATATGTCTTATGTGTTTTCGTACGTAACAATAACGCTGATTTAAAATTGAAGTGTGAAACCATGTTAATTTTCATTGAATTATTTATTTTAACTTTTCTTTGTATTAAAGGATTTTTCACTTGTATAATTCCAATTTCTAATAATTTTTAGTTATAATAGCTATTTAGTCCATCATATCCATCATACTTTTCTTGTAAAAATGTATAAATACATATATATATAATATATATTTATATATGTTTAACATATGCATTTAAAACAACTTATAATTAAAAATAATTGCATAATTCAGGACCAAAGTATGCAGTTTTTATTTGAACAGTATTTATTTAAGATACTTTTCAGTACCCAAGTACAAACAATAAAAATAAATGTATATAAGTTGTTTAATAAACAACAATACTCCTACATTAGTATCACCGTTAATTTAATATTATTATTCGCAACACAGCGATGTACCGAAATTGCCAATACATAACGCCGTCTTAACATATTTGAAATTATCTTAATTCTATTGTCCAGATGTACATAATTATGAAACATTTTATAAAAATTAATTATGCTCAAATTATTTCATATAGAATACTTTATTTTACATGAATGATTAAAAATAACTAGTATTAGAATATTTTTTTCAGTAATACTAAAAATCCATGAATAAGAATCTTAAATATACGGTAAATAGTTTATATAAATACAAATATGTAACACCAGACACATCATAATATAACATTGTATGTAATTTGAAATGATAAAAAATAACCAAATTCAATAAAATATACTTCTATAAGTTTACTAATTTAAATTTCTTTGGTATAAAGTTAAATAAAATAAAGAAATTTACCAATAAAGACACATTTCTTCAAATGCGTATTTATCTTGTCAGTTTTCATTGTACCTATGCATTATACGTGTATCATTTACTAACATTCTTTGTTCTAGAAAATCATAAACCATTATTGCGACAGGATGTAAGAAAACAATGTTAAAATAACCATAAAATTATAAACTGGCATACAATATAAATTAGATAAACATTAAACATATGATATAAAAGGGATTCTACATTAGAATTTTCGCAATCATTTTTATTTCTAATCATTGAAACCTAAAAATTGTTCAATAAAATAAGAAAATTTTTCAATATTAAAACTAAAATTACTACGAAAATGCGAACATTTGAGTGATTGGAAATAAAATATAATTTTTTTTGTCCAAAAACAAGTTATCGTATACAAAACAATAAGTCAACAAATAAAATATAATAGACCGACTTGTTTTATTCTTCTAATGTTAACGTTCAATTCATATATTGTGTGCGAATCATCAAGATTAAAAAAAAAATCACTACAATTTCTTTAGAGCTAAAGGTTTTTTAAACTTTTAAGTGCTCGGCTTTCAATTATTTTTTATTATTAGATAAATATATTTATAAATCTTTTATTTTTATTATTTTTTTTTTTTTTTTTTTTTTTAATACTTGTTGTTTTCAACTTTTTCGAGGATTTTAAATTCGCCGTTATTCTTTTTTCTTTTTCTACAACTACAAACACATTAAACATACACGAGCACGTCAGCACATCTGCAATCGTCCATTCACGTAGAAACAACTTCTGAGGCTTCGCATTATTTCACACCTGCTCCCCAAAAATTATTTCAAAATCGGTCGGTTCAAGCATGAATAATAAAAAATATACATAAAGAAATGATTCGCATATTTTTCAGCTTTACATTATTTGGAATTATGTAGTTAATATTGTACTCGTATTATCGATGTACTTCTGTTTACTAGAATGGACGTTTTTCGATTACTTTTATTTTAATCCAATACCACTACTACATAATAAACGAGTTCCGTCTAGACATTTATTGCTATTTATTCATACGAAACTACGGAGATCGAAAGACGGAAATATACCATTATTTATTCTTTGATTACACTTGTATCTTTTCACCTGGACTTTTAACTTTGTTAAAAATGTAAAAACCTGTGCATAATATACGAGTATAACATTATCTTGTATACCACTCCGTTGTATCGTGTACACCATTGATCTGTCACGAAATAATTATTATAATATAAAAAAAAATAAACAATTCATTCGTCTAACACAGGGGTATTATACCTTTTTCAATGGCAGGCAAAATCTGAGATATGCTTTGGCATCACATGCTAACAATGCTAACATTTTTTAGAGGAATAGAGAAGTAAGTAAGTTTAAGAATAGATAAAATTTATTTAAATTTTAAAAAATATGTATTTGTTTTTTATTTTTATAATTTAAAATTTTTTTTATTGAGATACTTTATGAAAAATTTGGAATTTCTGGTATTTTAAAGTTTTTTGATAGTGTACTTTATTGTTCCAATCAACAGCATTGCTGTAAATATTGGAAAAATTGTTTGTAAAATTATTTTATTATATAAAAATTTTAGGTACATCATTTTTGAAAATGACTGCTCACATAAGTAAGTAAAACTAAATATTGAAATTATTTCACATGCACTTTTTTTCAGTTTTAGAATAATATTGACAAAATATCAGTAAATTTGATGGACCGGAACCGTCCCATGGGACATTTGTAGCTCTGTTATTACCCATATCACTCTTCTATACTCCGGACACAGTTTTCATCAACTGAACACAGTTTTCACATGTTTCAATGTGTAATCGTGTGGTTGTTTATTCCTATTTCAGTGGTATCTGTGAAACATGCGAAAAACAAAAATAAAATGTTATAACGATAATATACTTCAATAAAGATAACATTTATATTATTTTAAGTAATAACATTCATTCGTTTCAAAAATATTTCTAAAGAGCAGTAAAGTTAATTTTTAAGATTCCAAGCATAAATATAGAACAACTCATTTATCTATTATGTCCATTCATCGTTATTCATCAGAAAATAATTATAATTGTTAATAATATTAAGATAATAAGTTATTTCATATTAGCCAATATTAAAAATATAAAAAAAATTGGGTTAAATTATAATTTATTTATTTGCAAATTAAGGTATTTAATTTATTTATGTTTCACGCATAATTTTGAAAGAGTAACTAGATTCTTTTTTTTAAATCATATTATATGAATCATTGTTTATGATCGGAATATATTTAGAAACCCAGAATTAAATTTGCTTGCAGAATTAAGTATTATTACTAACTTGTTTTTTTTTGAAGCAACAAGAGGTGTCTCTAGAAATTTGTGACTCATACGTAAATCAGGTCTTGTATAACAGAACCATGGTGAGTAATATCAAACAAGGTGTGTGCATCCACTCGCGCTGGGTCTTTAGATAATAAATTAATTAATGAACCTTACTTACCATTAATAACATGTACCCAGAAAGAGCATTTTGGAAACCATAGGACAACAGGGCAATAACTCGTATTTAAATCTAGTTAACGTAAAAATAGACTATTATAATTAATGTGTGACTATGATATATTTAAAATTAATATGTAACTACAATTGTATACATTAAATTTAATAAATTGTATGGCCTTTTTGGGGAAATATTTTACTATTTTATACAAGACCAATATAAATATTTGGTTTTAAAAAAAAAAAATTAGGTTAAAAACTGGCACACAATCGTCATGTAATAATATTGATTTTATTTATTTATACAAAAATAAATCTTAATCGGTAATTATTAAGATCAACATATTAAATAAAAATAAAATATTTCCTATGTGATTAAAAAATGAAAAATTGTTTTCTATGTCTATAGCCTAGAGTCTAAAATTGTTTCGATCCTTGAAAATATGATTTTCAAAAAAATCATTTCTCTTAATTCACATAGAAAAAAGTGCATTGACACAAAATTTTAAATAATAAGTATTAGTAGTTTTAGATAGGGCTTGAAATCGAGTTCTAATATCGATAAAAATCGTTGAAAATGCGTTCAGTGTTGGTTCTTCTATCTCTACGATAGCCTTGCATGTAGAAATAAATAATTAATTAAATTTAAAATAAATAAAAATATTTTAATATATTTTATATACTCGTATATTTTATATATATCAAACTAAAATTGTATAGAATAATTAGATTTTCTATGAAATAACTAGTTAAAGTATAAATTTCATATATAATTTCATGCTTTAACTAATATTTGTAAGTAATGTCATGAACTACATAGTTATTTTATAAAATAATAGAATTCAATACTCTAACAGTAACATATACATTGTTGCGTGCTGGTTATTGCTCTTGATACTATTTATGTGGTCTCTCGCATAGTGATATTCGTAACGATTTTTATACGATTATTATTAAAATTATTTTTCATGTTATCATTTATCAATTACCTATTATCACAGAATAATATTATCAGCTAATATTCTTTTTTATATATCACAGACCCGCAGGTACTTTTGGCTCGTTTCTTAAAATAATTGGCCATTATGTATTTTTAAAAATTACTCACTAAATAACAATGCAATGATACTTTTAAAATTTACTTAAATACGTAAATGTTATTAATGTTCAGTGATACGCAATAAATGGTTGTAATAAATGGGTTTTTTTATATATATAAATAAGCGATAAAATGGGTAGATGAAATGACTAGAACATTGCGGTCAATGAATTTGAGAGTTTTTTTTAGTTTGAAAAAAGAAATCTATATGGTTCAACATGTTTTCATAACAAATTAATCACTCGCAGTGTGTAATTTGTCTTCATAATTTGGGAAGGACTAAACAAATATTCCCTGCATAATTACACCTAAATGCATACTACGTTCCGTAGTGCATTTGATGTAAAAAAGAGACTATCCATTTCTTTGTCATCCATGTAATCCATAGCGTAAAAACAAAATGAAAACACGCCATTACTTTCGGCGGCTGTCGTACGATAATAAAACTGAAGCCGTGGTATGGTCATTTTTTTTTTTTTTAACAACTCTTGCACTCATTTCAGGTATCGTGGATCCGACACCGGGATATACATCTCCTTACAGCCGGTAGATATACATACACAAGCGACCAGCGGTTCGAAGCCATTCACGAGCCGCACTCGGAGAACTGGTCGTTACGAATCAAATATCCGCAGAAAAAAGATTCCGGTATATACGAATGTCAGATTAGTACCACTCCACCCGTTGGACATCCTGTCTACTTAACCGTCTTAGGTAAGTCAAGTTCCCAATTTTGTTTGTATAAAGTAAAGCTCTTCAAGAGTTCAACTTTTTCCCAACTCCTTTCTATTAAAAATAATGTTCCAATACGATTTTGTATTGTTTATATAGGTAATAAGTAAAATAATAATAATAATAATATTAAATTATTACGCACATAATACGAAAATACGTTCAAATTTCAGAAACCACAAAATCTGCTTTACCTATCACTATTTTTATTTCATTAAATTTTCTATCAAAATTTCGATTAAATTAGTTTTTAAATTCCATAAGGAGCTAAAAGAACATTGATTTTTCAATATCATGTTGTGTTTTTACCGACACATTTTGGCAATTAAACTATTTCAAAAGTTTTTATATACAAAATATATATTCTAGTTCTAATTTGGAATTTTGGTGTAAAAAATAAATCATTTGAAATTATGACCACTAGAAAATAGCAAAAAACTATAGTAAATCAATTAGTCAAACATTTTTTTTTTTATATTTTAGATAATTTGAATTCATACGTCACACGTATTCAAATACTATTATACGTACTGCAAGTTCGATTGCCTTAAGCTTTTAAGGTTTTAAAATAAAACTTGATACCTTAGCTATAACATAGTTAATTCAATTAAAGAGTTAGGTATTATCAAAGTCTATAAATGTATTTGTCTAATTTAACTTCATTTACAACACTTATAGTTTAAAATCATTTATTCACTTACGAACGTAATTTACTTTGTATAATTGTATTGTTGCAATGTTAAAATTGTGATATAAAGGCGGCACAATATACAAAATTCAATGTAGCCCTACTCAAGCCTATTGTGTATTAAATACATAAAATCATTCCGGATTTTAATAAAGTTATTTTTTTTTGTATTTAAGGTTTATTTTAACAATTAGTTTCGAGAGTTAAGTAAAAAATATATATAAGGACTACAATAAAAATATAAGTTACGAACAAAAATAAAAAGAAGAAATATAAAATTTAATTAAACAGCCTCTGTGGTTAAAAAATGTATTTCGTATAATTATTTTTTGCTGATTTGAAAAAATATTTTTTCTACTAAAATGAATAATAGAGAAATTGAACACGAATAATAGATGGTCACGTGATAGTGATGAGATGAATGAGGAGGAAGTAGATTATGCCCAAAGCGGAAACGGGAACGATATTATACTTTTCATAGAAAAATTGATTGCGAAACTAAAGAAATTGTGATCGGAGATAAAATTCTGTACTAGATAGCGAAATTAAGAGGAGTGATTTTCAATCTTTAAATCTTAGATAAGTTGTACAAATCCTATATTTGGGAATAAAGTCAGTCCATGAAATGTTTGTACTCGATAGCATCCTTTGCTAATTCTCACCGAATAATTAATCAATATTAAATATTTTGTTTGAAAATTGTAAAAAATAATTTAAAATTTTTGCAATTTATTTAAAAATATATAACCCATGAATCAGAGTAAAATGGTCAAATTTGTGAGGCTGGCCAAAATTCAATGCGAATTTTCGAATTGAACTATCCAAAATTAGATATTTTATTTTTAAATGGTAAAAATGAATTACATGTATAGTTAATTAATTTATAATAACAATAATATTAATATAAAAAAATACAGAGTCCATTTATGAACATATTTTTTGGGTGTCAAAAGTAATGAATTCGTTTTGGGTTCAACCCATTTGTGCTAAAATAAAAAAAGTATGTTATTTCCGATAGCTCATTTTCACCAAATTTACCAGCGTAAAAAGTTTACATTAACGACTTAGTTTAATTCTCTTTTAAAAATCTGTAACGTATAATAAAGTTATTTTTATAATTACAAAAAAAAAAAAATAAAAATAAAAATCTAAGGAATATGCATAAATAATTAAATTTAATTATAATAAAAATTAAAATGATTTGTTAAAAAATCTTCATATAAATGTTATGATTATTTTTAAAAAAATACCGTTTTATTAACTATAATTTAAATAAGATATAATTATATAAGATTATAATTGGTTAATATTTGAGAAAAAATATTTTACTTTATCATATTATAATTATATTTATTATAATTATATCAGATAAATTTTGTGCAAATGGACTGTTGGAAAAATATACCTTTTTTTATTACCACACAAATGAGCGATACCCTATTTTTCGCATGTAATAAATGTCACGTAGTTAATTGTTTAATGAATTTAATTTTTTTTAAATTTCCAACCCACACATTAGCGCTATATGGATGAAAACAAATCATGAACGAATAGCTTATTTAATTTATTCATATGCATAAAACATTGTAATGTACTCCGTGATAATTCTTAAACACCATTCTCGAGATATTCTGCAAGATGTACACAATGTGTAAAGTCAACTTACATGTCTATAATGTGTCGTCCATCCATCGGCAATAATGAGATGTGACTTTTCGATAAATTCATATAGTTACTAATCTCTTGAGACGATGTATTGATCAATAGAATACCATTATACTGTAGGTTTCAACCGTATAAGCATTGTACAGATTATTCATCGATATTCCTTTTCTTATCCAAAAACTAAAATATGCGTAAACACTATATTTACATATGTATATATATCGAATGAAAGATGCATATACAGAATTTAAAATTTTAATTTACTTTTGTAGGGGTTTTTTTCTTGAAATTAGGCAAACCATACACTTTACCTATATCTTAAATTATTAAGGTCTATTAGCCTCCATTTTATTTTTTCGAAATTTCTAAAAAAACCAATACTGAAAAAATTAAACATAATAAAATCTAACTCAAAAATTATCCCTAATACGCAATTCGGTTTTCACAATCTTCACGTTCGTGATGTTAGCCCCCCACCATGTCCAATGGAATCCGGACCTGTTCTCAAATTTAGTAACCTTTTAGTAACTAATTGTAACCGACACCAAACAGTTTCTAAAAAATCCAATTTTCATTTCGGAAGGGCTAACATTTTATTAACTTACAATATACGATACGCAACGCAAATATAAATATAAACACTTTTAATTTGCTACAATAGATAAATTATAGTTCTTTTAAATTTTTTTTTATTTGTACCAATTTATATGTATTGTATTGTATTAATTCTGAAAGATAAAACATTTGGTCTTCCTTATAGTTATATATATATATATATATATATATATATATATATATATGTATATTATAGTTGATTTGTTTCAATGAAAATGTGATCCATTAGTCTTTTAGAAGATGAAATTGATCCAGCACAGTATCCACAACGTATCAAATCATATTTTTTTTAACGAAATGTAATTAATTAAATTTTGTTGTAGGTCTTTAAATCCATTATCAATAAAACGAAGAATAATATTCATGCTAGAAATTTGTTTATTTTGATTTATTCAATTATAATTTGTACATTTCATATTTTCATTAGCAGATGAAACGTCTTTTAAGAGCTTAGTCACAATAAATAACACATTGCAGCATGCATCAATTATTTTTAAATTTGAAATGCTTTTGGATTCTTCAAAAATATTTTTCAGTATAACTAACCGTTCTTTGTAAGTGCTTATTGTTGAACCATATAGGGCTATTTTTTTACTAAAATTAAGAGTATGGTTTTCACTTGAATCTACAAAATTTTGGTATGATGAGAAATCTACGTATACCATTACAATTATGGTGACAATATTTCCATTTAAAAGTTATGAGTTCAAATTAGACTGAGTATATTTTTTATTTAGAATCCTTTCAATATCAGGATTTGGCTCCATGTACTTTCGAAGTCTTTTTTTAATAATTACATCTTTAGATTTTGGCAGTTTTTGGTTCTTCTGACATCCCCTTTCCACGTCAATATTCAACCACTTTAAGTGAATTGGAAGAAACCGAAGTTTCATCACTTTATTCATTTTCAACCTTTCTTTTGTGATCTACAATATAGGCATTTATTTTTTTTTCCTTGTACTGATTTTTATCTTCGTCAAAAGAACTTGTTTGTATAAAATTGTCGTTAATATTATTTTCTCCGTTTGAATAATATTCATTTGAAATAGTCTTGTTTTTTCTCATCGTAACAATGTATTTACCAGGTTTTTGATTTTGATAAATTAATTTTTTCATTTTTGTTACTGAACTCATCTGAAATTTCAGGAGAAGTATTATTTTTAATTTTCGATATTTCATTTAATTTTATATTCTGAAATGTTGTAGTCTTTTATGAGTTTCTTAACTGACTGCTTCTAAATAACTTGCTACTCCCTTTAAGAGCATTCAAGTGCTTTGCAATAAATCGATCAGCAGTCATTGGCTGTACATCAAATTTCAAGATTCTCCTTTTTATTTCAGCAAAATTACTTTTCTCTGGTGCAGAATTTGCAGTACAATAGGGTGAATTGAATTTACTGACCATTACTCCAGTCCAAAGTTGGAAATTTCTAGATAGACGTAATACAACAGATGAACCGGGAAACCCGGTAAAAAAAAAACTGAAATTCGATTGCCCTGTACTTTTGATTTTTTATCAGTATCTATATCGATTTGTTTAAAATACTCATAAATTGCATTAGGTTTTTCTTCAGTAACTTCTTAACCATAATTTTCATTAAAGTTATTATCATTCATTTCAAAATTATCTACATATTCTGCTACTATTCATTTTTTTTTATTTTTTTCAAGTAATAAGATTCTACTAAAGTCTGCTGGAGTTTTAATAGTATCATTAACCCAGCCATCGGTTTCAGATTTTGCAACAAATAATAAAGCAGTCAATATTTCGGTAAATTCATTTAATTTCGGTGAAGTTAAAAGTAAACGTAAACAATTAACATAAAATGATTTTAACTTTTTATTTTCATTCTCGCATGGTGTGCCGTTCGATGCACATGCGTGTATATTTCTTACACACTTTATTATTAATTTCTACTCATATCAACAACCAAACGCGGCGTTTCCGGTGTCTACGGATGCGGAAAACAAAACCAAATACACTCAAACCTCCAAAAAGGAACTCAAAACAACA